GCGCCCTGGGCGCGGCCCCCAGGCCCGCACGCGGACCGCACGCTCCCCATCCGCCGTGGCGCGCTCTCTAGACCTTCGCCTTCGCCTTGCCAACCCAGCGCCGTGTTCCTGTTCCCATACGCAGCGCAGGCAGGGCGAGGTTCAGAGACCTTCTGGGGGCGCATAGGGGTCGGATTTCGGTTTGGAAACGGGTCTCCCCCACCCCCACCCCCACCCCGTACCACGATTCGGAGCAGTGCAAAGGCATGGCATTTGCTGGCTGAAATCCACACAAAACGAATTAGGAAACCCGGGTGAGGGTGTGATTGGGTTCTCTGGAGGGAAATGAAGGATGGGGACACTTGGGACTAGAGTGGTCTGGTGTGTGGGCGGGAGACGCAGGGAGCCCCTTCCTCTCAGAGAAGTCCTCCCAAACCTCCTCTCCACTGCCGGTCAGTCCTGAGTCATCACTCAGGAGGAGGGGAGTGGCCTTCAGGCCTGGTGTCTGGGGGTGGAGATGACTGAAGGATCAGAGATAATACTTGAAACAATTTCCCCGATGACCAGTTGTCTGTGGAAAGAGTCGTTCCAGTAAACACATATACACCTATATACTTCCTCCAACATTCTATGTTATTGGCATAAATGTTGTCTTCCTCTTTTAGACACAATACCCATATCCCGGTAGATCCAACCAAACATTGAGAGGAAATATTCGAAGAAGAAATAAAAATGGCAACTGCATAGTCAAAGCCAAGCCAGATTTGCCAAGTATGCCCGGGTCCAATTGTACCTTCCCGTCCATCTGCAGTGTTCACAATTTCACTTGTCCTTACCTGTGTTAAAGATGAATCTCTCACCACAATTAGCAAGCAAATAAAATTAAGCCTGTGTATATCTTGCTCAAAAGAGCCATGATATTGCAGTGGACTGTGCAGTTGGGGGCTTCAAACCCATGATCTGCCCGGCTGGGGAAAGATAGGGATGTCTCTCCCTTAAAACTTTGCCAACTCGGAAGCCCTGAGGACCTATCTATTCGGTCCTATAGGGTGACTGTGAGTTGGAGTCTTCCGAAAGTCAATGGTTGTGTTGGATTGGTTGGTGATTACTGTGAATACTGGCTAATTAGCACCTGGATCAGAGCAATACCCCCCCCCCCGAAAGCTATGCGGGAGTGTAAAGAGCTATTTACATAGCACTTATATTGTAGCAGGGGTTTCAAAATGTTTTTGGAAAAATGGAATTGAAAGGTAATGGGATTTTGTGGAATACAGAAAGATTTCTCCCAAGTTGTCTCCCCCAAATATATGCCAAACCCAAGACGCTGCTTGCTACACATGGTAAATGACTGTACACTAGGAGGTCAACGAAAGTAGGTCAGAGGTTATTCTCCTTGAGGGTATCAACCATCTAGAGTAACCTGCATAGTCTGACTCACCCTAAGTAGGGCCCACTCCCTACTGATATTGTTCCCTTGAAGGAGTGCCCAAAGCAAGCCCAGGACCACTCAAGGATGACTAAGGTCAGGCTATTATATGGAGTCTAGGGTCCACCCATCTTGCCACATACGTACCCCTATTCCCTCCCTTTACTATTGCGTGTACACCCCTAGGTCATCCCCCTCTTATTGCTTGTATTGCCTATGTTACAGCCCCTTCCTATGACTTAGGTCGTTATCTGTATGAGAGGGCTTGCATGCCCCCCAACGATATATAAGCTTTGCTTAGAAATAAAACCTCACAAGAGCTCTCTCTTGCCCTCTCATTTCCCACCTCCACGTGTACCACCAAGAGGAGCTGAGGCGAGCATGCTACCATGAAATGTGTCTGACTTCTTTATTTTCTCCTCTCTCCTATCTCTCCTATTCTCTATGACTTTACTATAATATTTGTATATCTTCACGGTACAGTTGCTCCTACCAAACCTGTGATTAGATTTCCTCATGAACTTATAGAAACCTTCTTTTATAAGTAATGGAGAGATCTGTAGGAGAAAGATGAGGTTTTCCACTCCTGTAAAGATTCACAGTCTCAGAAACTCACAGGGAAGGTCTACTGTTTCCTACAGGGTTGCTATGAGTAGGAATCGACTCAGTGGCAGTGAGTTTTTGGAGAGAATTTAAAGTATACAGGAGAGTGTGTGTAGGGTAGAAATTCATACACACTTATGGGTATAAGAAAGAGTTTTATATAAAAGAGCAATTATATATTGATAAAATATCCCCACCCAGTCCAGATCAAGTCCATAAGTCTGATATTAGCCCATATATCTGATACCAATCTATAAAGTCCTCTTCAGACTCATGAAACACATCTAATGATGCCGAATGCAGGAATCAAAGGCCAGTGGGTGGGAAGTCTTGTGGATTCAGTAGCAGTGTAGGCATTTCTGCACTGACAGGGGTCTCCACATGGCTCCTTCAGCTCCAGGGCTCTTATGTAGCTCCAGGTGTCTTGTCAGCAAGCATGTCTCACTGGCAGTGAACCTGTCTTCTGCCTCCAGTGAGCTATTTATCACCTTAGCAACTCCAAATGAAGTCATCAAGCTGCAACCTGATTGATAGGCTAAACTCCACCCCTTCACTCTTAAGTCTCAAATTGACAACAGATTACTGTATATACTCAAGTATAAGCCAGCCCGGATATCAACTGAGGCACCTAATTTTACCACAAAACTGCATTAAAAAT